TCTAGACTCATTATAAAATATTTTTTCACTAAATTTCGGTGGTGATAATCATAACAAAAACGGACCCAAAGTAATTTTCTTTTTAAAAGCAATTTTCCCTCCAGAGAATTAGAATAATAATTCAATATTTTATATATAAGTAAATAAAAATTTTTATATATATATATTATAAATTAATTGATTTAAAAATGTTTTTATACTTTTTAGTTCTAACCATGTTTCATTTTTGAAACATGGTTAGTAAAATTTAACGAAAAAAAAAAAAAAAAAAACATTTTAAATCAATTAATTTATAATTTAATGTTCTATTAAATTTACATTGAGCACTATTTTGTAAAAAAAAAAATATCTATAAGACCACCGGATTATATATCATTATGTTCTTTCTTTTTTTTAACATAATATATATATATATATATATATATATATATATATATATATATATATATATATATATATATATATATATATATAATCGTGAAATCAATATATGTGTTACAAAATATAAACATTATAAATATTTTATATATATATATTTATAATATATAATATATTATATAATATAATATATATAATATATATAAAATATAAAAATATTAATATATAGAATATATATTATATATATTATAAAATATAAATTATATACATATAATATATATTTATACATTTTATATATAAAAATATATATGGATATATATATATATATATATATATATATATATATTATATAATATATATGTATATTATTCATATATATTTGCAAAGATACGGAAAAAAAATCAAAATAAATGTGAATACATTAAAAAATGTCAGAATTAAAATGTAAAAACGAACAGGATTACTGTTCTATTGATACTTTCGTTGTCCATTATACAAGCATGTATTTTATAAAGTTTTCCATTCTATTTGAATTTATTTTTCCATTTGTAGCAAATAAAAAGCGTAACTTAAAGTTTTATTTAAACAGCAAAGTAAATTTAAAAGAAGAATATTAAATACAATTATGCGAGAAACAGCTTATTTATTTATGAAAATATTCGAATAACAGTGTGTCCTGCTAAAACATCTAAATAAAGTAAAATTTAGACATATTAAATTTGATCATTTTAAACAAAAACAATAGCGAGCCTTATTTCATCGAAAAATAATGATTTACTATTTATTTTTAGAGGAGATTTTATTATTAATAAAAATGTAAATACATTAAATTAAGATATATTTAAACTTGAATTTATTTACAGATCTACAAAAAATAAAAGCCTATTTTAAAAAACGAACATTAAAACAACAAAGTAAATTTGAAAATTATTTGGCAAAAACGTTTAACATTGATGTGAGGTGTGTAAATATTTTTAAAATTTTTATTGTTGAATTTATCTTAACATCTATAGTAAATAAAAAGCGTAACTTAAAATGAATAAGAAAAACAATAAAAAAAAAAATTAAAAAAAGAATATTGAATACAATTATTTGACAAAAAGTGTAATATTTATTTATACAAATATTCGATATATATATATATATATATATATATGTTTTTGTGTGTGTGTGTTTTTTTGTAAAATTAAAAAAATATATATAATATATATATAAACTTTTATATATATATTTATATATATAATATATTTACATATATATATTTATATATAATATATTTATATAATATATATTTATACATGTATGTGATATATATATAGCATTTATTTACATATTTATATATACATAATTTGATATAATATTGTTAATATATGTATATATGTAACATTTGTTCATCTAATTTAATGTAATATATATCTAATTTAATATATATATATGAATTTAATATATAATATAAATATATATAAAATTTTACATATATTTATATAATATAAATGTATATAACATGATATATATATAATATATATTATATAAAATATATATATATAATACATATATATATATAATTTAATAATACATAGATATGATATATATAATTTAAAAATATATATAATCTATGTATATACAATTACAAATAATATATATATATAGAGAGAATCTATATAATTTAATAAACCATATATATAATCTATCTATATATATAAAATTAATAAAACATATAATCTATATATAATCTCATAATATATATATATATATATATATATATATATATATATATATATGATATCTAAATACATAATTTAATAAAATATACATATATTTAATTTAATATATATATAATTATATATATATCTATATCTAATATATATATATATCGAATTTAATATAAATATATATAAAGTAATACATATATTTATATAATATAAATATATATAATGTGATATATATATAATATATATTATATAAACTATAGTATATATAATACATATATATATATAATTTAATAATACATAGATATGATATATATAATTTAAAATGTATATATTCTATGTATATACAATTTAATAATATATATATATAGAGAGAATCTATATAATTTAATAAACCATATATATAATCTATCTATATATATATACAAATTAATAAAATATATAATCTATATATAATCTCATAATATATATATATATATATATATATATATGATCTCTAAATATATAATTTAATAAAATGTACATATATTTAATTTAATATATATATATAATTATATATATATCTATATCTAAATATATATATAATTTAATATATATATAGATACATATTATATGTAATTTAATATATATATATAAAACATATATTTTAATAATGTATATATATATATTTAATATTAACATACATATATGTATATATATATATATGTATAATTTAATATATAGAGAGCTATAATTTTATATGATATAATATATGTGTGTTATTTTTAATGTATTCTTGTTTAAATGAGTTGGATTGAAATATCAATCTCAATCCGACAGAATGATATGACAAATGAAGCCTTTATGTATGTAACATGTTTTACTTTTATTGAAACTCCATCAGAGAATGTGTAATGTAGAAAGCAAATCAAATTCCCGTATTTTTGCTTTTGTGTTATTTTATTTTCATTGTTCAATCGACTCTTTTACGTGCGTTCAACTCTTTAAAACCAACGTTAGTATAAATTCTTGTGTTCAATCCGAAGATTCAAGACATTAACGGATTCCATGTCTTCGTGAAAAACCGTAATTAACGCTATATGTATATAAGCGAATAAACATTCTAGTTTGTCTATGTGGTAATGCTATGGTAATTTATATTTTTCAGTGTGTGTCTGTGTTTAGTATACACGATCTTAATGCTTTTCGCATGTTGATTTGGGGACGTTTTTACGTACATACCTTTCGTTTTAAAGAAATATACATTAAATTCTTTAAGAATAGATTCAATAAAGTTTGGTGATGTAATATAATGTCTTTAGATGTATTTATAGCTAATCATATTGTTGTCAGAAGGCTCTCGAAGTACTTTCTCCGTAATGAATTATGATTTTTTTTAATTAGGGTGGCATTAGTAAAATCGAAGGGAAGTTTTTTTTCCCGTGTATTACTAGAAAGTTTGAATGGTTGTTTAAACAAAGCTCTTTTGTGTTCTTAGATATGGAGTTTTAGATCACGTGATGTCTCTCCGATATAAAGTTTTTTGCATTGTAAACGATTTATTTGATAAGTATCGACATTTCAATTGGTGTTGAATTTATTTTTTTTTCTAATTATAACTCGGATTGTCTTTGTCGTGGTGGTAAAGATCCTATTATTAGAGATAACTAATTTATTTCCAAGTTTAGTAGAAAGATTGTTAGAGGGTAGGATTATGAATTTTGTATTTCTAACACCAACAACAACACGAAATAAATTGAGTGTCTACTCAAATAGGTATATATATATATATATATATATATATATATATATATATATATATAAAATAATAAATATATAAAATAAAGAATAGCTACAAGTATTTTGAGTTTCTTTATAGTGTGTTCTATAAAGAATTATTATTTACTAATATTTGTCTCACATTGTGATTTCATTTTGTTTTACTGGCATGTTAGCCTACAAGAGTGTATTGTGGTTGTGTGGCCAATATAAATTTTAATGCTTTTGATTATTGAGATACAAACTTCCAAAATACACGGACTTAATATATTACTGTTTAAGTATGTATTACATAAGTAAGCATTAAATAGCTGTACAAAAACAGAATTGGGAAAAACAAAATTTGAAAGAGGAAAATTAGTGAGTAAGAAAGCTAGAGAAAAAGGAAAAGAAAAGCAGAAAAGGAAATGGCTGGAGACAGAAAGACATGAACTTTGTGTCTTGCTTTGAGATTCCATTACCCCTGAGATCTTTTAAAGTGGGTGATTCTTTTTATTTGATTATTTTTAATTATGGTACACACTTTATGGAATAACCTGGTATCTCGGCTTCAATTACTTTCTCAACGTCGTAACGTAGTTTCTCTGCTCCTTTCTCTATAAATATGTTCTTGCTAATTGCTCTGATGAGCTTCTTCCACTTAGTATGCTTTATGAACTAAAGCAAACTACTAGATTGGTAGCGAGGTCTCATCATTTGACACTTAAAGTTGCTTGATGTAACCGTAAGTTCTGTGCTAATAGTTTCTTCTTTCACACTTCTTACTTGTAGAACTCTCTTCCGGATGATTGCTTTTCAGTCAAATTTGATCTTCAGAAATTTAAATATGATATCAATCGTAATCTTCTGTCTTAATTTTTGTTCTCTTATTGTTCTCTCTCTTTCTCTCTCTCCTTTTTCTTCTCGTACTCTTTCATACTCAGTAACCCCTTGTGTCTTAGTGGATTTATTGCCTTGATTGGGGTTAAATAATAAAAAAAGGAAAAAACGGAAGAGAAAAAGGAAAGGAAAAAAGAAATAAATTTTATTGGTGGAAGGAAAGTGAAAAGAAAAAGGTGTGAAGATATTAAAAGAAAGAAAAAAGAGTGGGAAGGTATTAAGGGAGAAACAAAGAAAGAGTGGCAAAATATTAAAATCGAAAGAAAGTAAAGAAACAAGAGAGAGAGAGAGAGAGAGAGAGAAAAGAGAGAGAGAGAAAGAGAGAGAGAGAGAGAAAACAAACATAAGATCTCTGAAACATTCTTGCGACAGACATTTCCACGGTGTCGCTTGTGGTTGAACAATGTTTATCGAATCCGGTTCTTTTTGTAACAGTCGTCCATACAAATAATATCACCGCCAATATAGATGAAAATTTTAATTTATTTTCCATATATATGTGATTCTTAATATCGACAAGAATAGTAGTTTCGTGCGAAAATGCCAGCCTAGATAAACCGAGAACCGAGATAAACTGATCGAGCGAAAATTTAACTAAGAAAATATGTCCTTCCTTTTAAAAACATTAAGAGAAGGATATGCCTTGGGTGCCTCCAAATTAAACAAGCACACATTCTGAAGAATTGCTAAGCCACAATTAGGCTGTAAATGGGTAACAAAATAAAAAAATAATGTTATTTTTTTTCTCTCTCTCTCTCTCTCTCATATATATATATATATATAATGTAGGTACCTCCAAAGATTCCTTAAAAAATGAGTATAAATGATGAAAAAATGCCCCAAATAAAAATAAAGTTTTAACATCAAAATCTTTATTATTATTAAGAGGAAAGACTGAAGGATTTTTTGATTATTAAATTATTTTTTTTTATCCTTTTTCGAACGTTCTTAATTATGTTTAATTAGTATAAGAAATTTTAGTCTCCTTTTGGCGTCCACATCGATTTGGAAATTTTTGCAAAAAGCAAATCATTGCCAGAGTTTAATGAAACAGTTAGGACTTATTCACAAATGATGTTTTTATTTTTAATTTTAAGTAAATGTATGTATTCAGTTAAAAGTAAAAATAAAATAATCTTTGGTAATGACTAAAAGTATAATCGAAAGGAACTCCTACATGCAGAACATTCGGACAATTTCTGCATAATTTATGTCCAGAAAAGAAAAAAAAAGTTATAAGAACATAAAAAAATTAAATAAAAAACAAAAAAACAACTTAACTGCAGTCGTAACGAAAGTTGTATAAAAGATGGATTGCTGCTCACACACACATATATATATATATTTTAAAAAACGTTACGATTCATTTTTTTATCAAACGTTTTAATATTGACAAGCTCCAGGGAATTTCTCGAAGAGAGAAATCTCTTGAGGAGCGAAATGGCTATATAAATGGGGTACAGTTGAGTTTCATCTTTATGTAATTCATGTGTGTGTGTGTGTGTGTGTGTGTGTGTGTGTGTGTGTGTGTGTGTGTGTTTGTGTGTAGTTGTAAGAGAATCTTACAGAATAATAAATATATAAAATAATTTGTAAAATTTTGATGAATCTCCATTATTCAAAGAAAGAGTTTTATTACTTGTGGAATAAAGTTCTTTTTCTGATAACGCTGTTTCATCAGAGAAACATGTCAACTTAGAAAAACAGAAAAATGTTTTTTCAATAAAAAACCGCCGTCAAACCCGAAGTTGGCCTCGGAAGCAACTCCATGCCCAGTTCAAGTAGTTCTTGAGCATGTTAGACATCACGTCCATGATGGCGGCATTCAATGACTAATTGTTATTGTGGACCCACTGATTGGTCGACGCTCCAGACATATTAATCCAACGTCAGTAAGGATGTTGAAGTTGGCACGGTCGTGAAAATTCTCGACCTACCATTCCCGATTTACGTTGGACAAGAAAGAGCAAATTCCCGCTGAAACATGTGCAGTTACCATCTGGATCTAGGGTTCGAACACCCAGTCCAGCATCACGATGTATTTTAAACTGTAACATTGAACCCTTGCAGGAAAAGTGGTGTGGTATGACAACACTTACGTTGCTACCAACCTGTAGGACTGTCACAATGAGAACATTCGTGTGGTATGCATTGAACTAGTTGAATGTTTAGTCATGAGTTCAGTCCTCACAGCATGTGCCATATTTGCTAAACTTGTGCTAAACTAAATTAAATTTAGCAAATATCAAGTGTTTAAAATTCGAAATTTCTGGGGCACATAATGAGGAAAGAGAGCTTTGAGAATTCAACACCCAGAGGACCTCTTAAAGATAACAGTGGCAAAATAAATATCGAGTAGTCTACCCAATGAGCTTGTGTAAATGGCTGTCAAAACAGAGGCTAGGAGGGATAGTATGGGAACAAATATTGATTAGAGCTACAACGGATAGGAAATTGTGGAGAGCCATGATCACCTGACTAACAAGCTTGTGTAAATGGATGGCAGAGCAGGGATTGAGAGGCATAGGAAGGGAACAAATATTGTTTAGAGTTACAAAGGATAGGAAATTGAGGAGGTATATGAAATCCTACGTCCTGAAGGGACACGACACAAAGTTTTCGATTTTATTTCCAATCCTCTTCAAAAACTGTTTCTCGGTTATCCATTATCTTACCATTTGTTTGTATCTTATCTCTTTTTCATCCATTTTAATTTTCGTTGTCAATATTTTTTTTTTATGTGAATGTTATACAATTATGGATGAGTTACGTCTGCGAAACATATGGGGTAAATGGAACTGAAAAGGCAGCCTGTCAAAGAGAAAAACCGTATCGTGAGAATATAAATTCCCGATTGCTATCTGGCATAAGTAAACCCACCTAATGTAAAAAGAGTTTTCTTTAAACATATTTGTGTATAGATATTTCTAACTCTGATGTCTCTTCCTAAGCCAGGAGATTGGGTAAATGAAACTCGTATGAAGATATCAAACCAAAGATTTTCGAGCCCTCACTGTGCGTTCAGGAGTCGAATCAGCAGCCCGGTATGCTGTAATAGAGGCTTGATGGCGTGTTACATCCTCGTACACTGGTGTGTTACACACGACCAGAAGAAAATAAATACGGCTATTCAAAAGTTGAGGTGTTTGGAGATAACTATTTCATGTTAGTGCACAATCTGCTATAGGGTGAGATATCGAAAAGGATGATTATCTAGCTAGTAAAGCTGATTGTCTGTGCCTTCATTTCGTCTCTTACCCTTTCATATATATATATATATATATACCATACACTCTGAAGAGTGGACGAACAGGTCCGCCTATGAAACTTTGGAGTCGGGATGCTGACGGTAACATCAATCAGCTGTGATACATTTGTACTATATATATATATATATATATATATATATATATATATATATATAATAGGTGGACCTGTTCTTCAGAGTGTAAGGTGTGTGTGTATATATATATATATATATATAAAGAAAAAGGCGATTATGCCACTAAGATGCGTTCCATTTTTTCTATGTCTAGGGATATCTTGACTTTTGAGTTCTACTCGGTTATTACTCTTTCTGTTCCCCACTGCATCTAACACTATAATACTACCGGACCCACAATTACTATACCACGAAATTCACGAGCCAACGCTTTAATCCGGTAGGACTAGTAATAACTGAGCAGTACTAAAAAGGGACAAGACGAAATATCCCTAGACATGAACACGAACAATATTCTACTGGGAAAGAGTTCAGTTCGAAATTTATTGAAGGTTACCCGATAAGCAGAAGATGAAGGCCGGAGAGTAAACCAGTCGAAAAGTTATGTTGGACTTAAACAGTAAATTGATTAGTGCACTGGGCCAATGCCGAAAGAGATTATATCATCTAAGTGATTTATGAAACAATAAGTATAAATTATTACGGGCTCAGGTTATTTAAGAAATACAACGGATTATGTAGTACTTATTTCAATAAACCACATTACTTAGAATAATTACTTCGCTACTTATGTAATTCTAAATACTTAGTTGGTAATGATATATGACACATAACTTAAAAAGGCACGATTGTTTATTTACCGCTAATTTGTTTAAAACTGCAAAAACTCCCACAGAAGGCAGTGAAGAAAGGATTAAACATCAACTGCAAGAAGACAGAATGCAGGGTTGGCAGTAAAAGGATGAGCCCAAAGTGCGAAAATTTAAACATCTGAGAAGTGTCTTAACAGAAGACAGAAAGTGTGACACCGGAATCCGAAGACACATTGGTATAGCCAAAGATGCATTCCAAAAGCTAAGCAGAATACTAACAAATAGAAAAACTTCGCTAGAAACAAGGAAATGAGTCCTAAACGGTTACGTGATATCTCTTCTATTGTATGGCAGTGAATGATGGACAGAGATGAAGAAGACCAACTGAAGTGTAGTTCTACAGAAGGATTCTGAGGATACCATGGACCTAACATGTGAGCAATGAGGAAGTTTTAGAGAAAATGGTAACAAAAATGAAACATACTTAACACCAGGAAGAGACAGTTGTGGTTTCTGTGACACATAACGAGGAAAGAGGGTTTGGTAAATCTGATACTCACAGGGCAGATTAAAGGCAAGGGGGACAAAGGAAAACAACGTATAACATAGTGAGCTTGAGTAAATGGATGGCGGAACAAGGTTTAGTAGAAACAACAGAAATACATGATTCATTAAGAGGTGACAAGGGACAGGAGGTTGTGGAGAGCTATGATCGCCTACGTCCTGAGTGTACACGTGACGTGTCCACCCCTCAGAAGAAGAATGCCGTGACTTGTTTGCGTCACATAGGAATAATGGTTGGATGCTCGTATCGGAGTATAGCCGTCTGATAGTACAGCAAACCAATCTTTGCTGCAGACGCCTGCTCAGACACATTTGTGTTTGCTCAATACCAATACCATCTATGTTTTCTTTTGCTATGCTGAGCGGGCCTTAGTTTCTGGGAGAGAGTGCATCATCCTGCATGATACACAATATGGACAAGACCAGTATACTGTGACTTCGTGCTAATACAACCATCGATGGACAATTTCGTCTACCTAATTTCACTCACAAGGCTTGTGTCAACCTATGGTATGGTTTTCAAGCACATTCCAAAGGTGCTGCAAGCTAGGATCGCCTCCTCAGGCCAATAAACATCAAGATGTCACCTTCCCGGTCGACCATGGGGAGATTCGAATCCGGGCCTCATGGTCGGAAAGCGACAAATAAAAATTTACTTAAATAAGTAACCAAGTAATCGTTTTAAGTTCTCTGAATATCGGTGCCCTTATTATTCAGGAATAGTGAGTTCAACACTGGGGGAGGCACAGTGGATTAATGGGTAACGGCTCGGATTGAGGAATCGGAGAGCCGAATTCGAATTTCAATCGAATCCATTACATTCACTTACGTGCCTTTTCAACCCTTTGGAAAGGGTTGAATCCTCTTCTTCTCCCCACTCCCAGCTATGGGTTCTATAGCCTTGGATGGCATCTGGTCTACTGCAGAAAGAAATGACAACCTACTGCGAGAAAAAATCTGCCTCGTCAGTCATGTATCGAAAGTTACATGATCGCCTAAGCGTGTATCACGTATGGCACATAAATGACTGAGTTCAACCTTACTTCGCGTTCAATGTGGTCATTTCAGGCCTCTTCTCACTTTAAAAGAAATTCTCGAAATTAAAAGAACAATTTAATGTGCTTTACTTAACTGATAGCAGGAACCAGTTTTATATTTAGGTACTGACCTATTCAACAACGATGTTCTAGTCCAAACCCAGACATCCAGCCTCTTTTGTCTGTCAACGCCGTCTCCGCTGGCTGGATCACGTGTACCGCATGTTAGACGGAAGAAAGTTGACCCTCGGCAAGAGAGCACATATCTTCGTTTCAGAGATGTCCGAAAGATAGTCATGAAGTCATTGAACAAGAAATGTCGAGATGTCGGAGTCTAAAAAGAAAAGGAAAGGTGCTTAGGCAAATTGTTGAAGAGGACTAAATGACACAAAAAGACGCCTATTTACTAACTCGAGCTGAACGAAGTGAATTATCCAAGCGCAGATCCATATTCTCGCAAGACAAACGAATGTCATAACTGATGAACAAGTATTAAGTTTAGTCATAAATAATTATAGTTTTGTTTCTCAACTTTATTCTTCGAAAAAAAATCGAATGAAGTAAAGGGATGAAAATAAAAGAATGAAAAAAAAAAAGAATAAGAAAAAGAATAAGAAAAAGAATAAGAAAAAAAAAAAGAGTACAGTGACGTTTTATTCATTTCTATATTCGCCATTATTTACAATGACTTGTTGCTACTTATTATGTGTCGCTCTTCGATCTTTTTGTATAAAATTCCGCAGATTTTAATGTGAAAAGGTTTTTAACGAACACTCTTGAATCTTAGTTTTCATTCGTGAAATTTCTTTTTCACCAAATCGTTTTGAGCGATCAAAATAAATAAATAGATAAATAAATAAAAATAAAAATAAAATAAAAAACAAAATAAACAAGTAATAAACCCTCGGCCAAAGGGTTAGGTGAATATGCCGGACAGGGCATTACAAAATTTTTCCCGTGTCATTTGTACTGTGTCATATATCTTTGTATTGTCACGAGGAAAAACATTTTTCTTTAAACTGGTGGACAAATCTTTTTGTCAGAATCCTACACATTTATAAAGCCATGCTTAGAATATTGTTGTTTACATCTGGTCTGGTGCTTCTGATATGTATTTAGATAAAATTCAAAGAAGAATCTGCAATATTATTAGTCCCGTCCTGGCATCTCGACTTCAGTCCCTTTCCCACCGCCGTAACGTAGCTCCCCTCTGCCTTTTCTATACATATTTTGATGGTAATTATTCTAATGAGCTTTATGAATTTAACCGCGGTACTAGATTGGCCTTATCATTTTAGAGTTGAAATGACTTGATGAAACCGTAAGTTCTATGCTAACAGTTTCTTCTTTCACACTTCTCGCTTGTGGGAGTCTTCCAGCTTCTTGCTTTCCAGTCAACTTTGATTTTCAAAAATGTAAATGAAATATTAATCGTTGTCATAATTCCTGTTCTTGTATTATTATTATTATCTCTCCTTAATAACGTTTTCTTTTTCTCATATTCTATCACACTGTAACTCTTTGTGTCTTAGTGGCTTTATTGCCTTACTTAGGGTGAAATGATAACATTTTTCTAATCCACTGTACGTTAAAAATCTAAGGTATGTTAGTGTATTTCAAATTTATCTTATGTTGCGCCGGACTTTCAAGCGGAGAATGCGCACCTGCCTTAAAAATTCAAATTTTAATTTCTTATTTATTTTCACCTGGGTTTGAACCATGAACACGAGAACCGATAGGAAATATATAACTATCTTGGCTACCCGATTTGTTTTTTCATAAGAAACTTATGATTTTGACTAAGGCTTGGGATGCAAGATTTAAGACAAGTTTCTTCCATGATTTTTAAGCTTGCTTCTAATAAATTAGAAAAGAAAGACATTTACTAATGAATACATTATAAAATAAGGTTATTAATAATTTTGTCGACTTTTAGCTGCACTGACGTTACTAGTAGAGTTGCTGAAGAATTTGTATTAAGAACTACCTGTTCAGTATTTAGTTATTGGTCAGTTACCAATGGAATTTAACCAATTCTTCTAATATTTTTCGATTTAGCTAATTAGTTATTAAGCGAATTTTCTTTTCTGACGATTACACAAATAAGCATCCGTTAATGTGCTGACAAAATCCTAAAGGATACAAGTCATTACATTTGGAGCCGGCTTGAGTGCAGGAGTTGCCGGAAGGTTGTCAGTGTTGACAGTCAATCGCCTTCGAGGCTCCACACCAGGGTTTCTGTTTGGATATACTTCCATAGCCATTTTCGTGTTTGGATATGACGGCAAGGCATTGGAGTTTTAAAATCAGTGTTTTCCTTCTCCTAGGTGGACTGCCTTCCCGGACTGTCGAACTCCATTTACCTGAAGCAGTTGTACGACTCGACTTCGTCCATTCTCCGGCTTGAAGCTGGACTTAATTGTCAGAGGATATTTGAAACGCATGCCACAAAAGCATTTTATAGACAATGGGAGCTTGTCCCCACTATCACCCCCGGCAATGACAACCTTTGGAACATATACAATGTACGTATATATACATTATATACATTATGTGATTTAGAAACACCAAAAAAATAATTTTTTTTTTACTACATAATAAAAGGTTAGGTGAACAAAATCACTAGAAAGCAAGATAAATTACATAGATAAACATATCAAAAAGTTTGTTAATTTAAAAAAAAGTATCAGCTAGTGAGTTAATTTTGGAGAGGTCTCCAATATTGTCCTTTATGTTCAGAAGCCGGCGATGATCGCCAAGCAGTTTCTTGTCCATTGCATGAAGCCGACGTTAAAAGAAAATGGAAATTGGAAATTAGAAGTGGTCACTTCATGACATTTGAATATCTCAAGAAATTAATTCTTCTTTTAGAAGCAATCTTTCTTTATGATTTAGAGTTTCCATTTAAAAAATGGACCTTTCTTCCAAATAGAATCCTGTCTATTTTCTGTATTAAATATACTCTATTCATGGTTTCTAAACTGTCGAAAAAAAAAACAAAAAAAAACGCACTTCATTAATGAAATGTTTTTGGAAATTACGTAAACATTACTTTCGTTTGGAGATAAAACAAGGGAGACAACAGAAAAAAATGTCTCAAGTGGTTAAATTGATGATGAAAATTAAAGTAAAAAGAGAAATTATTGCCTTCAAATAATTTTGAGATTTTTCACTTGGGGCGGATCAAAAAGTATTATTTGTTATCTGAAATATCTGGGTGCAAAAATTATCGGCATGCCGATAATAATTCTTGGGTTTTTCGTGAATTCTTACTTATGATGATTAAATAATAATAATTATGGAAACTTTTAAAACAGCACGGAATCGAGGGTTTAGTAGCCATCTCTATTCTAATGTAAAGAGACCCTGTAATAGGTCGAATAATAAATTTATACACCTGTTTATTTATTTCGTTTAGAGAAACTTTGAAAAAGGTCTAACTTATTTTGCCTATTATTCACATAAAAATCTTGTAAGTTTTTGTAACAGCAAAATACATAAAATAGGAAAAATGAAAGGAAATATTTAACATCTGAAAGATGTTTCGTAATTTTAAAAACACCGAAAAGCAATTCGGAGTTTTTCAAAATTCTTTAACTGTGTATCAAAGAATTCTTAAAAATAAAAGTCACCTAAATATTTTTGTTTCTTACCATAGTTGAAGAAGGTAAAAGAAAATGGTTTCCTTCTGGAATGTATCGTGTTCCCAGGTGTAAACCAGGTAATCCTGTCACCTGAGATCGTCCACAAGGTAACATCAAAGTTGTTGGTTCTGAGTAAAATACTGTTGTTGGTATATTGTGATTTCCTGGCGACATTATGGACAAGAAATCGTATTTGATTGGTCTTTATCGATATTTTTCTTTGGGAGAAATGGTAAATGTTTCTTTCTTTTATTTTTTTGATGATGCCGTCAAATATTGGTAAGTTACACCACACTCAACTCTCTCCTGTGTGGCATATCTCGAGTGTAACTCACTTCGTAAGAAAACTAATCGGAATTCGTCATAAGCAAAAAAAAACAAAAAAACAAAAAAACAAAAAAAAAAACAAACACAAAAAATCCTAATTTTTTTCTCAATAAATAAATGAAAAAAACTGAACTTTGTTTCTTCTTCTTGGAATCAGTGGTATTTTCTTCTAAAAGAGCGCTTTTAAAATTCTGTTCTCTTATTTGTGGATCTTGTCAATTTTAGCCCGAGGTTTTCGTAGAGTTGCATCGGCTGTATTAGCCAAACAACATTACTGTGCGTCAGTATATCATCACAGGTTAGTAAGTAGTCGGCGATAGAATTGTGTCGCAGAGTTGGCAGGGGAGGGAGAGGGGAGCAAAAAGGTTATAGATAGATGAAAACTTGAAAGGATTGAAACGAAGATACAAACATCACAAGGTAAGTCGAACCCTCTGGATGCAAGCAATACAATTAAATAGTAACTGTTACCGAATTACAAACAAAGACTATGAACAATGGTTACAACTGGTACCTATAATTACCGTAGCTCAACTGATAAGCGCGTGTTTATTTTTTTATTTTGGCAACTAGATCGATTTACTTTCAAATAAAGATCCGAACGATATCAGTCCTTCTAAAGGCCAATTCAAGATCATAAGTACTTATATATGTACATAGACGCACACTGGTATATACAGACATCTCTCCATCTCAATTTAACGTTAGGAAATCATAGAAATGTAAATTCGTAAAGTTACTGTAAGAAACATTCTTAAAAACTCCAGTTGCATTTTCAACTTCTTTTTCTAATATATACATTTATTAATAAATATACATTTTTTTTTAATGTCAGCGGAGGTACGATTCGGAATTTCATCCACAACGCAATCTTCATTCGTCGTCTACCGATGAGTATAAAAATGTATATTTATTAATATATGTTTAATATACTTATATACTTAATAGCTGTTATATTGCATCGAGCACTATTTTATTAACACCGGCACTCAATGTACGATATCTTATATATACACTAGAGTTTAAAAGTTTGAGGTAACCCATGGTAATTTCTTAAATTGATCCTAAAAAGAGTTGTTTTGTAGTTTAAATAAGAGAAAATTATTATACACGGTTGAAAAGTGGGACATGATTTTTTTATTAGAAATTTTATTATGACAAAAAGTAAAACATCATTTTATGATTAAATTTTGCTCCCATCAAAATATCAACCTTCAACTTTGATTACTGCAGCACAAATCTTTGGCATTCGTTGAATAAGTTTCTCAAAGTACAAGTTTCATAATTGATTCCATTTTTTTTTCAATGACTCTAAGAGCTCTTTTTTATTTTGGGATGGATGGAAAATTCATCCTATGCTAATTCTGGGCGACTTCAAACTTTTGAACTGTAGTATATATATATATATATATATATATATATATATATATATATATATATATATATATGGTGAACATAGTTACATATTCCCCTCTCTTCTCAGTTTGATATTCAAATCCAAAAAGAAAGCAAGGATAAAAATTTTAAAAGCTAGCAGATCTTTTTCGACTTCGAAGGTGCAACACATTCTTCATAATTCCGACTTTACTTCATTTGGCTGTGTGCTAAATTAAACTTAAAACTGTTAAAGTGATCTGCTTTGTTGTCATATATTTCTCAATAATCAATAATTATTATTTCTTAATAATAGAGGTTAGTGCTTAACATCGAGTAAAAGAAAACAGAATTTCGAATGCGGATTTTCAAGGTAGTCACAGCACAATCTTCCTAATGTCAGTTTCTTTTTCTGCTTTGTTCCAGATGAACTTTAGTAAATATCAACAGAGAATAGGGTGGGAGAGTGTTTTGATCATTTGAATGTTGATCTTCAATTGATTACAAGAGGTGACATAATTCAATTTAGTAATTATATTTGTCTTGGGTGCTAATAAATTCGAACCTAGAAGCGGCTATCTAACCTTTAAAATATTTGTCGTAATTTGATGGAAAACCATCAAATATGGATCAGCATAAATTCAAATCTAATAGACAATTATTTTAGAGCCAATAAAAAAGGATTCCTTTTAAGTAAAATTTAATTTAGACTTCAAAGGATTCATCCGACAACGTCCGGATAAGTTGCTATAGGTTGAAAAGAGACGCCTTAGATTTATGGACCAATTGGAACGATTTATTTCGACTAAAAAATCCAGCATGTTTGTTCCTACTAAGCCATAATGAACGATGTCCACCATAACTCGTTTATCAGTCGCCATTACACACATACATACATACATACATGATGCTTGTCGACTCGTTCAACGAGTATGACAATCATCGACAAGTTTGATCAATGTATTTAGTTCTCGTGCGAACGACAATGACTCTTGAAGCCAACAAGTGAGTTGCAATGCTTATTGTAGATGTGGTAAATTATGTTGTACTGTACAAGGACAGATCTGTTTTGTAAAGTCTGTTCAGCTTGCTTTTCCGCAGTGGTTCCTGTAGGTTTTTTGATTGTTCTCCCATGTTAAGTTATTTTCAACGAAGTAATTTGTGAAAGTTACACCAATATGATTTTTATTGTGTCTCATTAGAGAGATATATTCTGCCACCTTCATTACACGTAAATTGATGGTTTGCTGCATCAATGATTTCCCCATTTACTAGCTGCACTCAACTCTCCAAGAACACATGGCCCAGTTGATAAAGGTGTCGGTTGAAGTAATCCAGTGACTTGACCCAAAATAGTTGTGAGTTCAATACCTGGCCACAGCAGAAACGAACAAAAACTTGAACAGTTGAGTTACTAAAAGGAAATAACTGAAACTGAGATATCCAAAAAAGGTATGGCACGTGGAACGAGAACAATCTACCTCAGTGGAAGAAAATACAACGTATATCACTTGAAAAAGGCCGGAGCGTACAACGGCCGGAGCGTACAACGGCCGGAGCGTACAACGACCGAAACGTCGTGAATAGGACAATAAAGATGAGGACAACAGTTCGAACAATGTAAATAGTGTAAGTAAAATGTTCTTATAAATTTTATTGGAGTTCAAAATCAATGATCTTTATTTTAAAGATACCCATATTGCTCGTATTCCATTAGTAAGGCGGAAGTTCCACCCAGAAAGTTTCTTCCTGAGAACCGCTACTTTGTGGCACAGACTCCCAAGGAGATGCTTCCTCAATTACTACAATCTTAACTTCTCAAGTCTAGTGCCAGCCGTTATCTATTCTACATACCCTTATAATTTGTACTTCTTCCTCTCATGCTCATACAACAACCTCATTCAGTATCTTCTACCTTGAGTGACTCTTGGGCATTGTATTGGGTTAATATTTAATAAAAAAAGAAGGTAATGTATGTACGTTTCATATCATAAATATACCATTGCCGTGGTATTGAAACAAAAAATATCAGAATAACGTATAAAACGTTACCCTCTTGGTGAATGACCATGATAACCACACCCAATTTAATGATACTCCGCCTCAATTTACGGAAAATTAAGGTTATATTTTAGGTATTAAATAAGGCTCAATGTTGAAGATTTCCTACTCATGACCAGGCACAGCTGAAAATTACCTGATGTTTAAAAACGAAGTGTATTGATTTCATCTTAATTTTCATTGCTTTTTTTTATCGCAATGATCCAGACCGTAATTCTAATCACATTAGTAAACACTGCAGTCCAGAAATAAATCGAAACTAGAACTAGCTTTCAGTTTTCTTCGGAAAGCTTGTATTGGCGTTAGATTATATAAAGATATATCATAGATTTGGTTTGCTACCAACAAGCTTGTAACTCAAGCGCTGGAGCGGCTTTACCGAAAAAGCAGATAAAACTAATGCTTGTTTGAGTCTCGCCGTGGGGATATTCTTAATCTTCAATTCACACTGTTTACTAATGGCTATAGAAAACAGTTTGAGTAGTTATTAAAAAAAATATCGTATATAGTCGCGTATCACCTAATTTTGTAACTTATTTGAGTACAGTAAATGGATATATAGTTTGGTCAATGGAATAGCCAGGGCCAGCAGTACATGCACTAATTTTATATCTCACTTATGATGCGACTCCATTAAAATTAGCTTCAAAGTCACATAACACGCAAGTAAATACAGTATATGAAAGGGTGCTTGCTGAAACAAAGAAATGATTAATAAAGGAAAAGAAAAGAAAAAAAATATGTTTGATCATTTTAGACATTTGGAAGTGAGTCAATCTAAGATTTTAAGTTTCTTCTTACATCTGTGGTGATTGCTAAATCTTACTCAGATGAGAGCCGCCCTCTCACCTCTCGCGTCATTTGACTTCCGTCCCGTTTCGGTGTCCATATCCCTTCAGGTAACTCTTGAGATCAGCATTCCATTCCATAGGTATCGGGCATCCTTGATTGGACTGATTGAATCGGCATACCCTACAACTCTCCCGTGTACCACCATGTGCCTTCTCAGGTCAGATGATGATCTGCAAACCTTGTTGCAAACAACCCACGTATTGTCTTCAGGACGAGGAGTCAGGTTGGCATATTGGTTTGCTTCTGCTTGTTACGATGACCTTTCGGGTGCTTTACATAACCTGCCCTTGACAACGGCATGCGCTCAAGAACACAAACAAACACACACACACACATTTCCAAGACAGCATATTAGTCGGCAAATAAGAGTGAATGTCTCTTCGGAGATCATGCTTGTCTCAACATGTGTGAGACATTCGTTCTAATAAGGTGCTTCCACTGTCCGATTGCATTCAGATTATCCTTTAGATTATCTCTAAACTTCTTCCTAGGCTTGTGTTGTGAATACTTTCCTGTCATCAATTCATTGTAGTAAAGTTGTTTGGGAACCATGTTACGTTCCACCCCATTCTCACAACGTGTCCTGCCCATCGCATCTGGTTGAATATTATTATTGTTTCATTGTTGCATTCAAATCTTTAGTGGACAACAGTATCTAGGATCAAAGACTGCCATTTGATGTTAAGGATGCGTCTGACGTATTTTTGATGGAATCGCTCAAACCATTTAATATCCCTCCGGTATGTTGTCCATGTTTCAGAAATGTACATATATACATACATAATCACCTATTATTATTATTATTTTCTTCTTTTAGACAAGTGCTATGTTATTGGGTGTGCAGGTAATAATGTTAAGGGTGCGTCTCGGGTATTTTGGGTGGAATCTTTCTTTGCAAACTGCTGCTGATACGATGTGGAATATTTAAAACAATAGCAACCCAGATAATTAGAAAGGCGATAAAACGCCGAATAAGATCGGTTGTTAACCGTCTAGATAATCCGGACCTCAATTTAAATTTAAAGTTGTCTCTGTATCTTTCAATGTAAACTGTAATCGACGTTTGTTGTGTTTCTGTCCACTCCTCTCCTATCTA